TTCGCCTTCCGTCTGCCCGCGCCGCCCATTGGGGGCGCCCTGCTTTTCGCCTTGCGCTACCGCGTGACGGGCCACGAGTTCTGGGACAACAACGACGGCCGGGACTACGCTCTACGCGGGCCCGAGCACCCTGGCAGTAGCGGGACCCCGGAGCCGCAGGGCTGGATCCACTTTATCTGAGACGCCGGAGGCCGGCTGCGGAAATACCAGAGGCTACGGGGACTGCGGGAGCCCGAAGATTTGGCGGGGAGGAACCAGAGAAGCCGAGTTTGGCGAGTTGTACTAGAGAGTCAAGTGGGGGAGAAATGAAAGCGGTGTGGAAGTGGGTGGAATCGAAGTGTGTGAGATAAGGTGGAGAACACCAGTAGGACCTTAGTAAAAGGATCCCAAGGCCTAAGGAAAGGAGACCGGAAAGGGTGCTGGAAGCATTAGAAAAAAGCAAAAAAATAGTGATGATGGTGACGTTCTCTTCCGTGAGTGGGCGCTGGGAGAAAGACTTGCAGGCCTAGGCAGTCGAAGGATAAGGTACCTTTTTGGGATTGAGGAGGTATTTTGTGTCAAGTCGTTTAGATTGCTGGCTCATTCCCTTTTTTTTCCCAACTTTGCCACCTCAGGTCCCCCAGCCCTGCCCATCCTAGCTTTAACTCAGCCATAATTGCCTTGCTGAAGTCCCAGGAACTTGGCCATTGCTCCCTAGTCCCTGGCATTATGACAGGATTCCTTTGTCACCCCTGATTGTCCCTGGCGTCGGTCTCTGTGAACTGCCTGGGTGATGGCAGATAGCAGTCAGAGCTCCTTCCTCCAGCCTCCTGGCAGCCCTAGGGGTTAAAAGGAAGGCAAAAAACTCCAGGCCTGTCCTTGTGGCCAAATGTAGCGCCTAAAGGGCTGGTACACTCAGGGGTTTCCAGGAAAATGCCAGCTTTACCTTTCTGGGGTGCCTTCTAATGACTTATAAGCACTTTATGAACTCTATTTATCAAGGGACAGTGAATCACAAGAATTGCTATTCTGCTTTGCTTCAGAAGACAAGGAAATCACTGACTAGCTGTATAACTTTGGGCAAGTTTCTTCACCTCTCTGGGGCCCAGTTTCCCCCTGGGAAATTGGATTTGGGTTAGGTGATCTCTTACAGGCCCTTTTTGCTTTAACATTTTATGATCCGTGAGTGGCACAGTGTAGATTAGAAGCCACATTCTCCAACCTACAGTTGGAGTGCTCTAGTTCAGAACACACAGACCCCTAGCCTTTGGTTGGGACTGAGGATGGGTCCTTCACAGCCCAGGAAGCATCCTCAAACCAGCCTGCAACCTCCGTATTCAGGTCTCAAACCACAGCCCATCCTCTGCCCTTGCTTTTTGCTCTGGCCCCAGCCTGGGTTCTCTGAGACAGCTTTGAAGAGGTATATCTCTCGGGGAAAATTATGCTTGGGGTCCCAAAGATGAAAGAAAACAATATTAGGGGCTCTCTTGAGAAAGGATTATGGGTATAAGAAAGGGAAAGCATTTCAAACGAAGAATCAAAACAACTTGAAAATTAGATGGCACCAGAAGATGGCAGTCTGCTCCACATCCTGAGCAAGCTGAAATGGGAAAGCTGGACTTTTACCCATTCACATTCATGCCTTACGTTTCTCCTCATGGTTAACCTCTGCTAGTTATTTTTCTTTTCCTCTTACCCTGTTCTAAGCTCTTTGCTTTTCTCTTTTCTTGTCCCTCTCTCATCACTTTCATCTTTCTTTTAGCATATGGGGTATTTACCTTCATTTTCTCTGTTTCCATTTGCCTCCCTCTCATCCTTGTTCATTTTGCTCTCCCTTCTCCCTCCAGAAGGGGTAGAAAACCTGCTTTTTCTTCAAAACTATGGTTGGTCCTCCTTCCTCCCTCAGGTTCCTTCTTGACAGTCTTCTAAAGGGAGAAGAGGGAAAAGAAGCAGTTTCTGGTGCAGATGAAGAAAGCTCCCAGGTAACCAGCTCCCCACCCCCTTTTCTATCTGCTACTGATTTCTCAAAGAACATTTTCCGGAACTGCCTTTTCCTTGTCAGTAAGAGAGAGAGTGCATGGGCATGTACCCGTACATGGGGCTTTTTACCATGCCTATCCTGTTCAAAGCCTTAATCCTTTGAAGAAAGATGGCTGAAAGAGAGCAACCCTGAGTCATTCCTCAAATGCCCATTTAAACATCATCCTTCAGGTGAAGAAAACAGTTTCATGCATTTTATGGATCACCTTCAGGTCAAAGTTCCAGCAGAGTGAAAGAGAAACTGTACTGGAAACCACCAAGCAACATACTTATTAGTCATCAATAAAGAACCCAAGAGAGTATACTGGAGAGACAGATTGGGTCGAGGCTCAGTGTTTAGTAATCTCTTGCTTAATGTGTATGTGTACTGTTATGTTGTATTAACAGTTGTAGTAGCTCACATTTACTTACCTACTAAAATCTGGTGTCTTGCATGCATTATAATATTATCCCTGTTTTAGAGATAGGAAACAGCTCAGAAAAACTCAGTAGTTTGTTCAAAATCACACAGCTAGTAAATGGCAGAGCTACGATTATGAACCCAGGAAATCTCCAGAGCCTCTATGTGTAACCATAATGTTATATTTTTTCCTTTAAAAACAAAATTAAAAACCTTGCCATATATTCTCTCTTATTGGGGGGGGAACACACCACAGTTTCTAATTGTGCTCTGCTTTCCCATCCTCCCAGTCTCCTGAATGGCTTGGAGAAGGTAAAGCTCTGAGGGTCCCAAGCTTCATCTCCTTCCAGGAGTTTGCTGCTGTCTCCTGTGCTAGTGTCCCAGCTCTGCAGGATCAGCAAGGGACCAATCCACCTGCCTGCTAGAGAAGTTAGAACCCATTTGAATCCATATAATGGGATTCTCCCCTGATCCTTAGCCAACCCTCCATAGCTGCTGGTGTGCCAAGCCCCTTTACACCCCTCCACCCCCACCCCCACTAGCCTTGAATAGGCCAGTTACCTAAACTTTCTGCTAGAAGGACCCCTAAGACAATTGCAGGATGCTTTGTGTGCTTGGGCCCTCTCTGAGAGCCCAGGTATTAGTGCATAAATGCAAGCTGGTTGGGGGCAGGGAACCAAGGATAATCCATTGTTTTCTGTAAGAAGCACTATGGCTCACTCATGCTCCCCATTCTCAACTTTATAGACCCAACACATGAGTCTCCTGGTTCTTCCCATATAGAGCTGCCCCAGGGCCTGGAGTAAGCTGATAGTCTGATATGATTTGGGAAACACTAGGAGTGTTAGGCATTGTGATGGAGACTTTCCTCTAAAGGCTGATGACTATATGAACAGGAGCAATTTACAATATAATATGTCACTTGTGGACCAGGAAGTGCTGTAAGAGGAACTTAACCATGGTGAGGGGCTTGGGTCCATGAAGCAACACAGCAGGAACATTGTTGCCCTTTCCTCTCAGCCAGACCTCACATGTCTGATAGCCTTCCTCCTTTATCTTTGTTTCTCCTTATGAATGTTGCTCATCATTTCTCTTCATAATAAACCCTAATTCCTCAACTTCCCAATCTAACTCTCACATTCCTTGCTTCTAAGTTCCTATATTTCTCTGGAGCTCCTCTGGATCCTTGTAATCCACAGGTCATAGAAACAGAGACCTGAAAAAAGGCTTGTCTTTAGAGATCATTGGGTCCCGGCTCCTGTACAGATGGGGACATAGGTTCAGAGATGAAAAGTAACTCCAGTGGGGTCAAAGAATTTTTGTTTGTTTTTTGTTAATCCTCACCCGAGGATATTTTTTCCCTTAATTGTTAGAGTGGGACGGAGGAAGGGAGAGAGAGAGAAACATCAATGTGAAGGAGACCTTGGCCAGTTGCCTCTTGCACCCACCCTGATCAAACCTGCAACCCAGTTATGAGCCCTTGACCAGGAATTGAGCCTGCGACACCCCCACCCTCCCCCACCCCCAGTGCTGAGGCCGACTCTCCAACAACTGAACCACACCAGCCAGGGCAAAGAATTTTTTTTTTTAGTACAGCTCAGGACAGACAGGGCTTAAGCCCAGGCCTCTTGACCACATCCCATTCCCAGGCTATGAACCAGGCCTCTGCACAGTCAGACCCATAATTTTTCATGGCAAGAGATAGTATCAGAAATGTTTCTTTTTTAAAAATACATATTTTTATTGATTTCAAAGAGGAAAGGAGAGGGAGAGAGAGAAACATCAATGATGAGAGAGTCATTGATCAGCTGCCTAGCCCACAACCCAGGCATGTGCCCTGACCAGGAATCAAACCCTAATCGCCTGGATCCTAGGTTGATGCTCAACCGCTGAGCCACACCTGGTTGGGCAGAAATGTTTCATTTTCTGCTACTAGTATCCATTCCCTTCCTCATCCAGGCCTAAGGAGAAACAAAAGGAACTGGTAGTTTTCTCAGTGTCCCCATCCTTGGCACTTTTTTTGGTAATATTACTAAAGAAAAGTTGCTAAAAAGATTGCATAATCCACCCATTAATAGCTAACCTGGATAGGAAAGGGAAGTTTGCCCAGTGAATTTCCCCCAAACCACTGTTTTCATCAGGCCCAGAGCCTTCCCACCCCCTTCAGAGTGCAGCCCTATTCACTGGGCCCCAAACCTGTTCAGCTTCCTCATACACTGACCCTCCCTTCTGGATAAAAGACCTCGTGTTTGAAATAAAGTTGAAATGTGAAAAGAACATATCACTAGATACTGAGAAGTATTGTTTGTTTTGGGCTGAGAATGGCAAGAGACCCAGAAGCCAATTTCCTGGTCATCTTGTGTATTGTTTTTCTAATGTTTTTATTGATCTTAGAGACTGGAAGGGAGAGGGAGAAGGAGAGAAACATCAATGATGAGAATCATTGATCGGCTGCCTCCTACTGGGTGTTGAGCCTGCAACCCGGGTTTTGACCTAACCATGACCTAGTTCATAGGTAGATGCCCAACCATTGAGCAACACTGGCCAGCTGGTCATCTCATTTCTTTTTCTTTTTTTTCTTTTTTAAAATATATCTTTATTGGTTTCAGTGAGAGGAAAGGAGAGGGAGAGAGAGATAGAAACATCAATGATGAGTCATTGGTCAAGCCCACAACCCGGGCATGTGCCCTGACCAGGAATCGAACCCTGATCGCCTGGATCCTAGGTCGACATTCAACCACTGAGCCACACCTGGCTGGGCGT